TCAGTGTATAACTGTCTTGTGCTGGGGCCAATGAACATGTTCCCTGTCTGCCTGGTGGTGAGGCCAGAGATCATGTTACCTGTCTGCCTGGTGGTGAGGCCACATGTTACCTGTCCGCCTGGTGGTGAGGCCAGAGATCATGTTACCTGTCTGCCTGGTGGTGAGGCCAGAGATCATGTTACATGTCTGCCTGGTGGTGAGGCCAGAGATCATGTGTCAGAAGCATGTTACCACCCATGTCACAAACAGTACCTTTGCCTCTTGTGGTAATAATAATCTCTTGCGACCTCAATGCATAGACTGAGGAGGGAAACACGTTCGGACATTTATGGAGTGCAAACTGCAAAGTAATTTAGTTACAGGTTATGGCGGTCATGATGATTCATTGATTGATCATTCTAAAGAGTAGGCTGTTTCTGTATGACAAAGGGCATGATGCTGACTAACTGCCAACATTACTGAACCAGCCACTTGGTGCCGACAGAACAATACAATGCTCGTCAGCAAAAAAATAAAAAATGTTTTACTGTGTCAGTTCCCTCCTCACCTCAGCAGTCAGAATGTGGGGGAGTGCAGTGTGATGTACTGCTGTACTGCTGTCTGGGGATGGATGGATGGATGTGATTTAGCAGGAACAAACGGTGCAGAACAGAGAGATCAGGGTATGCTCCGTCTGAAATGACACATTTTACATTTACATTTTAGTCCTTTAGCAGACGCTCTTATCCAGAGCGACTTACAGGAGCAATTAGGGTAAAGTGCCTTGCTCAAGGGTACATCGACAGATGATTTTTCAGCTAGTCTGCTCGGGGATTCGAACCAGCGACCTTTCGGTTACTGGCCCAAGGCTCTTAACCGCTAGGCTACCTGCCTGCCGCCGAACACCCTATTCACTATATAGTGCACTACTTTTAACCAGTGTCCCTGATCAAAAGTAGTGCACTAATATGTAGGAAATACGGTGCCTGTGACATCAGCATCATTCAGCAGTACAACTCTGTAAAACCTGCACACACACACTCAGTCACAGACACACAGCCTACATGGTTACGTAACGGGACTAAAAACACTGTTAAAAGGCATCTCCTACTTATTATTACAGCCAGGACATCAGCCATCACAGGCATTGCATAATTGCTCTTCTGTTCAGTGTCCAATCTCCCCCTTTTCCTCTCCTCAGTCTCTGTCTCTCCATCTCGCTCTCTCAGCCCTATCTCTCCAATCAATCTCTCACTCTTCCTCCCTTATCGCTCTCTAGATCACCGTTTCTGTCTCTCTTCTCCTCTCTGTCTCAATCCCTTTTTGTTGCTTTCCACCTCCCTCCCTCTGCTCGCTCTCTCTAGATATCAGTAATTCCGTCGGGAGTGACAGTTGTCCTGGCTGGGTTTGAAAGATCAAGGAAGTGTGACGTATCAGTTCTCAGAGTGGATTTGCCATCTGTCAGACAAGTGTTCGGCGAGATGTCATTCAAGGTGCCTGAAAACGACAGCCAGGCTCTAATCCCAACCAACCTGATCTAAAAATCCAACCACATCATGTTTACAAATATGATGCTGGTTTCTGAGGAAACCAGAGGAATCAGAGGAAGAGCATTTGGTCATCTGACATGTTTAGAGAACTAGAATCTCTGTCAGAATGTTCCAGGCTACTGTGACAGAGCTAGCCTTCTCTAACATAATTAAAATCTACAGTATAATCATAACACCTGCTACGGTGTGCACATGGCCGACAACATTTGGTAAACAAAACAAGCATACATGGTAACAACTGGATTTAATAAAACAGCCATGAGAAAAGCAACTGGTGTCCCATCTCAGAAGATATGGTATAGGCCTAAATCAAATCAAATTGTATTGGTCAAATGGTACGAATACAACAGGGAAATGCTTACTTACGAGCCCATTCCCAACAAGTTAGTTTAATGGTATTTCTGGAGTATTGATGGATCCCCAGACCAACAGTGGTCCTGACTGATCATATTACAGATCTTGTTTAAACCAGTCCTCAGCTCCTACTACCGATCACCTTGCAGTGATCACCGAGCCCGGAGAGGAGACAATCAGTTCTATCCACACAATCCAATCGGTCCAATTAGCCTGGCCAATGTTGATCCAGTGCCAACAGCACTCCAGGACCAAGGAAATTTACCCCAGCCCAGACCACTATCCGTTTCTCAGTTTCTCCATTCAGGCGAGGCCCACTCCAGCCAGTTCCTTTGTACCTCTGACAGGACAGGTCCAGGTGCTAGAGATCAAGTCCCAGCAGGTAGCTACCCTCCCTTCCCCTCACTGTGTCCAGAGGGTACATGTAGGACACACACACAGCCAGTGACTGCGGTTAGATAACCCTTGTCTAATAGCTAGGCAGTCAGTCACACACCCACACACTGCTCACCTCTCTCACCCACTGCAAACACCTTTTGTTGTTAACAGATATGTTAACTCAGTGTTTAACACTTTCCGCTAGCTTTTCTTTGCTGCTGGCTCCAACATCAGTGGAAAGTGGGTCAACAACACCTGGCTGTCTGGCAAGTCATCCCCAACTCCCCACCCTCCCTACCGCACAGCACCCATTTCTATGCAATTTAACTGAGTCTATACAGTGAATGAGAGAGGTAGGTTGCTATTCTCAACAACAATACTTCATTACAGTGCTGTTTGAGAGTTCATCAGTGAATTGGATAAAACAGAAGCAGCTATGGGTCACGATATGATGACGCCATTATCGCAGGACAATGTATTAAGGGGGTCATGAGATAATGAAGTCATCCACTTCTAGTATGTAGTGGTAGCCCAACATCTGCCCAGCTGCGTGGGAAGAAAGAAAAGTAGATCATCTAAACTTCCCCTCCTGTAGTTCTGCATGAAAGTTATTCAAACGATAAGCTACTGATGTGTATGTGGGTATCATACAGCAGGACTAAGTGCTTGTTGAATCAGCTCAATAGAGAAATCGATTGTTGACTGACAATCAGGGAGCCAAGGCCTATACATTCATTCATACAGTATAGCTGCTCTGCCATGATGTAACCATATTGAAATGATACAGCACTTCCGACACCACAGCAGTTAACAGATTTGAGAGGATTTGGGAGTGCAGAGCAAAACATGTTATGGTGATGTCCACATGTCACATGTAGCGACGGCTACCTACACCCCTACTGCCTTACCTTCAATGGCGATGACATGTTCTCGAATCTGATTCTGCAGGATGGGCTCTTCCACACGCTCCAGCAGTTCATATATGGAGTAGATGTTCGGATGGACGGATTCGAATCTCTGGATCTCAGACCGAATGGCAGCCGAGTTTGCAAGGTGCTGCTGATAGTTCATGTTGCGCGTCGGTTTTGTTCTTGCCCTTTCACGACTGGTAACGAATTGACTGGTCTTGTCAAATGGTGTGGTCCTCAGCACAATATTGTGTGTGAGGCAAGCCAAATAATTTGTAGATAGCTAGCTACTTGATTCAAACTGCAACTTTGGCTTGAAATGAAACAGCAGTTACTTGTCAGTGAGTCCATGTAGCTAGCTGGCTATCCCCGCTTCCAAACAACCGACCCGGGCTCTCCTGATTCGAAATCCTGGAGGAGTGACAGTAGTACAGTCTGCTGAGCAACGATTCCCCATATCCTTGCTCCGTCCCTCACGGAGTGTGGAAATAAAAACCCTATTCACGAATATTAGCGTGTGTATGAATTGTAGCAATCCAGCAAACAGGTAGGTACTGTACTAGAGTCATATCATACCTCTCAAACGCTGGAAAGGTTTGAAAACGCTTGTTAAATAGGCCCTTTTGCATTTGCTAACTCGCTAGCTAGCAGTAGCTAACGTCCAAGCCGGGGACAAAACTCAGAATTTCTCAAACCCCTATCATTCTCTACTTAGACCGACCAATCTGTTTCAGAGCTTTTCTTCACACACATGCAAATGAACCAATGTAGTTATGTACCCAGGCAAACCCCCCCAAAAAAGCAATCTACATAGCTAGCTAGTTAGCTAAATAGTTACTAATCGTGGCTGGATGTGTGTTCTGCGCAGCCAAATCCTCGTTCGTTGTTTTGTTTAGCGTGCAAGAGCAGGCGCAAAACTCCCCCCACAGTCCCGATTTGGTCCAAACACTGGGCGCGTGCAGTTGCCGAAAATTCCAAGTCACAGTAAAAATGTGGCTACTTGCGATGAGAGCAATATATATTTTACAGATTGCTCTAGTTCATCGGCAAACATAGGTGCTTTCTCCTTGTGTAGAAATCCATCCCGTCTGTATCATTGAACGTCATTCCCTGAACGTTTCCTCCTGGAAAACGTCTGCTGCAACCCATAGACTTAGATAGACATCGCATTATTGTTTATGTTCTATTATGGCGTCCGTTAGACCCCAGGCAGAGCCATTGAGGCCATCTCCATTTTGAAGTAGTCCATTTTCATATTCTACTACTTCTTTGAGTTGGCAAACAAACTGAACGGGTGCATACTGCCACCTGGAGTGTGTTGTTTGAACAGGTATAAAGCCAAGGTTAGTGATTTATTGCCACCTGCAGTTATGGAATGTTTTCTCAGGAGTACAATTCATTGGCTGATCCCTCCAGGTGACCTGGATGGAATTGTATGATCCTTCCTTAACTTCCTTGACTACTTTAAAATGGTGAAAGTCCTCAATGGCGATGCCCATGCTAAAATAGCCATTTGGGCACTAGAGTCCTCTATCTATCTCTATGGCTGCAACCATAGAACGCATTGGATGGTTCAGAGGCGTCGCGTTCTTGAATGTACTAATTGCGCAGAGGCTGCGCATTTGTTTCTCTGGGCATTTGAAGAATGTTCACGCACATGTACAGTATGTGCCAATATATAACATTCATTTAGCCATAGATATGGAGCTCTAAGGTGTTCATATTTGAGAAGAGATACATTTTGCTTGCAAAGTTAGTGCAATATAGGCTAGCATCTGCATAGAAAAGCAAAGATCATACATGATTACACTCAAAACTCCAAAATGTATTGCTATATTTTATTGACTGATTAGAAATTTTGAATATTTACATATTTCCTTTGATTCATTTACTTATTTATACACAACCTCGTTATCAAAAAGATAATACTCCTTAGTTCCATCATAGAAATATTGATCCCATCTATGAAAACCTATAAACAGTACAGAGACCTTGAGTCGATTCATATCTTAGTTCAATGCCACTCACTCATCCCTGAGGCTGACTCTTCATTTATATTTACATAGGATATATCCAACATTTCAGATTCCTGACTTGAAAAGTTCAGCAGTCCTCTTCAATCTGCCCAGCCGGGCACTGCTTCCCCATCCACCATTAAGTAATGGACGATGCCAGCTCTCTTCTTCCCACTGCTCAAAGCCTTAATACAGCATTCATGGTCTGCCACCGTGAAGTGTGTCTCTGTTCCGTCATCCACAAACTCTCCCTATAGACGACAATAAGAGAAGGTCCATAAATATCAGTAAAGGACTGGAATGGCAAAAGTATGGACCAAAGCATTAGTGAATCATGTTAAACCAGAACCCTGGCCTATGCATGTATGTATGCAACATACATGGATATAATAACTTCACATTAAATTCCATATGAGGTTGAAATAGTACCTCTGTCTCCATTTTCTGCCCATTGAACCATACATCCATTGTGTCCTTTTCTGTTGAAAGAAATCATACAGTAGTAACTTATTAGTATTGCTTGCATCATATTTTTCACCATAGGCCTACAGGACAGAAGAACCATGCAGTGCATTGCAATTATTGTTAATGATTTACCGGTAACTGTATCTGCATAAAATGTGAATTACACATCCATAAGAGCATCATAACATCACACAGTGCAGATTTCCCTGCTTTGTTTATTCATGTCACATGCGCTTTCTGCTATAGGCTACAAAGGACAGTGTCCCTTCCAATCAGGTTTCTTGCATGGCTTAAAATAGCCCACCCAGAAGTGTTTACCTGAGTAGATTATACTCCTCAGAACAGCGCTGACCTGCATATTGCCTTACACACAGCAGACTACGTTTTTATAGACTTTTTAGAATAGACGGTGCAGTTCGTATTGACACTGAAATATTGCTCAATGCTCATAGGAAAGAATATCCTTTTTATTTTTTCGAGACTTACCAAGGACAATCCTGCAGTCAACACCATCCACTTGCAGCACCCACGTCTTAGTGACTTTGGATCTGTTATCTATGAACTTCTGGAGACTCTTGCCATCAATCTCCAAGGTGTACTCGTAGGTAAAGCCACTGATAGCCTCAATGTTTACTGTTGCTTTTGTTTCCATGCCTCCCACTGTGAAGGTCTCCTTTCCAACCAGTTTGAACATCCAGTCTCTTCTGAGCACCTCCTGAGGAGGAAAGCAAATCAGACAGCCGTAGGCCTTCTGTACATACAGTGGGGAGAACAAGTATTTGATACACTGCCGATTTTGCAGGTTTTCCTACTTACAAAGCATGTAGAGGTCTGTAATTTTTATCATAGGTACATTTCAACTGTGAGAGACGGAATCTAAAACAAAAATCTAGAAAATCAAATTGTATGATTTTTAAGTAATGAATTTGCATTTTATTGCATGACATAAGTATTTGATACATCAGAAAAGCAGAACTTAATATTTGGTACAGAAACCTTTGTTTGCAATTACAGAGATCATACGTTTCCTGTAGGTCTTGACCAGGTTTGCACACACTGCAGCAGGGATTTTGGCCCACTCCTCCATACAGACCTTCTCCAGATCCTTCAGGTTTCGGGGCTGTCGCTGGGCAATACGGACTTTCAGCTCCCTCCAAAGATTTTCTATTGGGTTCAGGTCTGGAGACTGGCTAGGCCACTCCAGGACCTTGAGATGCTTCTTACGGAGCCACTCTTTAGTTGCCCTGGCTGTGTGTTTCGGGTCGTTGTCATGCTGGAAGACCCAGCCACGACCCACCTTCAATGCTCTTACTGAGGGAAGGAGGTTGTTGGCCAAGATCTCGCGATACATGGCCCCATCCATCCTCCCCTCAATACGGTGCAGTCGTCCTGTCCCCTTTGCAGAAAAGCATCCCCAAAGAATGATGTTTCCACCTCCATGCTTCACGGTTGGGATGGTGTTCTTGGGGTTGTACTCATCCTTCTTCTTCCTCCAAACACGGCGAGTGGAGTTTAGACCAAAAAGCTCTATTTTTGTCTCATCAGACCGCATGACCTTCTCCCATTCCTCCTCTGGATCATCCAGATGGTCATTGGCAAACTTCAGACAGGCCTGGACATGCGCTGGCTTGAGCAGGGGGACCTTGCGTGCGCTGCAGGATTTTAATCCATGACGGCGTAGTGTGCTACTAATGGTTTTCTTTGAGACTGTGGTCCCAGCTCTCTTTAGGTCATTGACCAGGTCCTGCCGTGTAGTTCTGGGCTGATCCCTCACCTTCCTCATGATCATTGATGCCCCACAAGGTGAGATCTTGCATGGAGCCCCAGACCAAAGGTGATTGACCATCATCTTGAACTTCTTCAATTTTCTAATAATTGTACCAACAGTTGTTGCCTTCTCTCCAAGCTGCTTGCCTATTGTCCTGTAGCCCATCCCAGCCTTGTGCAGGTCTACAATTTTATCCCTGATGTCCTTACACAGCTCTCTGGTCTTGGCCATTGTGGAGAGGTTGGAGTCTGTTTGATTGAGTGTGTGGACAGGTGTCTTTTATACAGTTAACGAGTTCAAACAGGTGCAGTTAATACAGGTAATGAGTGGAGAACAGGAGGGCTTCTTAAAGAAAAACTAACAGGTCTGTGAGAGCCGGAATTCTTACTGGTTGGTAGGTGATCAAATACTTCTGTCATGCAATAAAATGCAAATTAATTACTTAAAAATCATACAATGTGATTTTCTGGATTTTTGATTTAGATTCTGTCTCTCACAGTTGAAGTGTACCTATGATACAAATTACAGACCTCTACGTGCTTTGTAAGTAGGAAAACCTGCAAAATCGGCAGTGTATCAAATACTTGTTCTCCCCACTGTAGCTCTGACTGACCAAAAACACATTAGAGATTTTAAAAAGGAATACATTTCAGGTCCTACGTACCTGTCCATTGATCCAAACAACCCTCTTCCCTGTCGTCGTGCCGTGTTCAAACTCAATCCTGTAAACCCCATCGCTTAACGCCACCTCCCAGATACCAACAACATCTCCGGCCATCATTTTGACTGACCTTCCAGGGGTATAAAGCCTGTAGGCCTAACTGGAAATGATTATATATGTCCCATCGACTCTATCCTCATTTCAAACCAAGGTTGTAGTTCAAATCTCATCCTATAGGCGTTTTTTAAGCAATGTTAGTCCGTGTGTCCATCAAACTGTCCTAGATCTGCTCTGCTCTGCTCTGCTCTGCTCAGCAACAAGTGAAAACTGCATTACTGTAAGAGGCTTATTGCTGCAAGTCCTCTTTCAATCCAGTTACTGACAGAGGTAATTTGTATGTGAGACTTCTACAGTGAGTGACTACAGGTGATGCCTATACCTTCTTTAGATAGGCCTAGGTTAAATACATCACACACACAATTAGCAAACTAATCAACAAATGAATCCCACATTTGTGATCAAACATACAGTATAAAGAAAGCCTCTTTATTAAGGATCTTTCTAGTGTCTTTTTTCAAACGTCTTTGGGTCTTTGAAAAGCGATATAAAAATCCCATGTATTATTATTAACATTAGTAATATAAAGAGCCTAGAGGTAAGCAGTTTAGAAGCTTAAATGTAGTTTATAATTCTGCAATAAATAGCTATAACACGTTGGTTGAATTTGGAGCGTGCCAAATAGTGAGCGTATATATGATTGCACTGTTATTGACCGTTACAGTTCATTATTGCTAGTGCGGTCATTATTTGGTATATTGACCAAGGTATTCAGACGATCACAGAAGAGCACGCATGACTCGACCTTCGCCTCTCCTGAGCCGTTTGGGGGAGTTGCAGCGATGATACAATATCGTAATTGGATTGCAATTGGATATCACGAAATTGGGGGAGAAAAAGGGGATAAAAAAAGAAGAGCATACTTTGCGCCAAAGCCTGCCAGTAGATGGCATAACACTACCTTGTCTAGTTTCCCACAATAAAACTTCCAAACTTCCCAAAACGTTTGTTTACTGGCTATTAAAACAACAATAATCAAGTGTGCTTGTAAAAATACAATTCCACTCCCATTATTTATTTTTATTGACATTATGCTAATAGAAAATATAGTTGGGCCTAGCATATCTGATTATTTTAACCTATTACATAAAGGTATTGATTAAATATTATGTATATGGACTGCATTGGTAATACATAAATACATGCAGCCAAGTTATTTCATGAGCAGATATGGTTGTAATAACATGTGTACATGTGTACGGTGGGCGGTGTCGAACCTTGCCGTGAGATCCGCTACTTATGCCGCGTTCAAGTACTATTCGGAACTAGGAAACTCGGAAAATTCGACTTGCTAACAGGTTGAACGCGGTACGTGTATAACTATAAACAATTAGCAAGTCAGAAATGTCCGAGTTTTCTAGTTCTGACTAGCACGTGAACGCGGCATAAATCGTTTCTTTCTCGGTCTTGGGTTGGTCCTCAGAGGGGAGAGAGCGCTTATGGAGTCTGTATTTACATAGTATTTCCTCGGGTAACTCGGTTCGCTGGAAGGGGGAAGGCAGAAGATCCCTCCTTGCCGACAACGCATTGAGACTTCCAGAAATCTCTCTCCTTCTGAAGACGTTGGAAAATAGGAAAATGGCCTCTAAAGTTATAATCGATTAAGTAAGTTTTGTATTGACAGATTATATGGAATCGTTATGTGTAGCCGCCTAGTAAGCGTAGGTTGCACTGTCTACATTACGATATAAAATGAAGTGTATGTCATTTCAGCTGCATGAACTGAGAAAGGAGACATTTAACGACTGCCATAATATTTCTTATCGTGGAGTTATTTTTTGTCACCGGAATGGAATGGTAAATGCTGCATTTCCATGTAAACTTTAAGCAGGATTATAGCACTCAAGTTGCCAAATGTTTTAGTTTACTTTATTGAAGCAACCCAGATTGTGCATGTCTTTCTGAACAGTTACGTCATAGCCTACTGCTGAACTATTTTTTTCCCTTTTTTTAAACAAAGCAATGTTATGAATAATCACTAATCAGTTATCTAATCTGAAAACTGGACACAACTTCAGAATGACAGAAGACTACAGGCAATGCCTCTCTCACTGAACTTCTTATACTCATTGTGGGTTTTTCCTTGACACTGCAAGAATGAAACTGACACTGCATCTCTGTGTGTTATGGCTGTTGCTGGTATGGAGCGCAGGGGCCTCTGAAAGGAGACCCCTCAAAAGGACAATCTTACAACGAACATCCCTCCAGGGGGGGATTTTTAACAGAACACAAAATATGTTGAACTCTGACAGTATTGCTCCTTCCGCTATAAGTGTGTCCCTTGTGGCGAGCCATCATGACAAAATGCAGAGAGATGAGAAAGCTGAGCTCCCAACAAGAAGAAAAGGACCGCCAAGCAGAAGAGTTATGCCAAGCAGAAGAGTACCCCAACAACCAAAGAAACCCATAAACCAGGTTGTCAGTGGCGCTGGCACATCTCAAGGCAACAGTAAACCAGTGACAGGGGTGGTGGTTCAGACTCCGTCCATACCAGCCCGCACTGTACCCGGCAGCGCAGGCTCCCTCAACGTCTTGGCCAGCTTCGCAGGGAAGAACCGGGTCCTCGTCATCTCCGCCCCACATGACTCAGACGGCTACTACCGCCTGATGATGACCCTCCTCAAGTCGGACGTCTACTGCCAGATGGCGGAGCGGCACATGCAGATGATAGTGATGTTCCACCGGGAGGGAGAGCGGGGTGGTAAGGTGCGGCGGGTCAACGCCAAGGGACAGGTCACGGAGGAGCCCCTGGATACGGTCCTCATCCCCAGGCTGATGAACTTCCTGAAGTTGGAGGAGGGGAAGTTTGGCATGGTTCTCCTGAGGAAGACCCTCCAGGTGGAGGAGAGGTACCCGTACCCGGTCAGGCTGGAGGCTATGTACGAGGTGATGGACCAGACCCACATGCGCAAGCTGGAGAAAGCCAGGCAGAGGGGCTTCGTGCAGAGGTGCAAGGCGGCCGGTGTTGAGGGCCAGGTGGTTGAGTCTCAGGGCCAGGGGGTATTGACCACGGGGTCAGAGGTCAGAGTGAACTCTACGGTAGAGAGGGTGCCAGTGAGGAAAGGGGTGCAGAGACCAGCTCAAGGACCCAAGGCTGTGACAGTTACCACAACCCGACCAACCACCACAAAACCAACTACGACCACAAAGCCAACCACAACCACCACAACAACAAAGTCAACCACAACCATCACAAGAAAAACAACCACAACAAAACCAACAACAACAACAAAACCAACAACTACCACCACAACAAAACCACCACCAACAACAAAAGCAACCACGACCACAACTACAACAAGGCCAACCACAACCACCACAAGAAAAACAACCACGACCACAACAAAACCAACAACTACTACAATCACCACAAAAGCAACCACCACAACAAAACCAACAAGAACAACAAAACCAACAACTACAACCACAACAAAACCACCAGCAACAACAAAAGCAACCACGACCACCACCACTACAAAACCAACCACCACAACAAAACCAAAAACCACAACAACACGACGAACCACAACCACAACCACCACAAAACCCACAATTCCGAAGCCCTTGGTCCCCCAGACAACACCACACTGGGACCTAGAGGTCCCCACCACAGACGAATCCTCCTACACCCTCTCAGTGACCCACAAAAATGGCAGAGATGACGTTACAGAATCCCACAGAGACCAATATGAAGAAGACACAACCGACGATACCAAACATGGCCGACAAGTTGTTACCTCTCCATCTCAGCTCACTAACGACAACCCAACTGAAGGTGGGGAAGAACTGGGCAGTGAATTTAAGGTTCTCCCTGATGCACAGGTGGAAACAACTTCCCCCAAGAAGAGCAAGGTCAAGCAGCCTGTCAATGCAGAGAGGAAGAAAAAGGCTGATAAATCAGGGGAAAAGAGTAAAGCAGACAAGAAGAGGTCGAAGGCTGCTAAAGACAGTGATGGTGGCTTCTATCGTGGCAGGAGACCAGGGAAGAAGGCCGCTATTAACCAGGCGAAAGAGGCAGACAACGAGAGGCCCCCCACAAAACAGACAAACCCCTTAGTCTCCTTTTTTGGTTATTTTGAGAAGAGACGACGTCTACTTGTGAGTATTCTGTTGTATTACATAAAGGTATTGATTAAATCTGATAAGGAGCATGCATATTGGTAGACTAGAACTGAATAGAACAGAATAGAACAGAATAGACACATGATACAACATTCACTTCTCTTTCCCTCCCAGGTGATCACTACTCCAGACGAGGAGAATCGTATGTACACGCAGCAGAGAGATGAGTATCTGGAGCATGTGTGTGAATTGGGTGTCAGAAAAATCTCTCTTATCACCATATTTGGCTCTCTGACCAATGGCACCATGAAGATGGACCATTACCAGGCTGGTAAGTAAAGTCTTGAACTTTTTGTTGCTAATTTTCTATTCTATTTTACTCTGATGACAAGTGTAATAAACGTTTGTGGTTACAGAGAAGGATCAGCCTCTGAAAGGCATGAAAGAAGAGGACTTCACAAACCAGTCACTCATCAGAGCCTTGAGAAAGGACTTGGGACTGATATTTGATGACTACTATATGGTGCTGACTGACTTTGATATGAAAGTGAAGGTTGGTTCGTCTTGTTTCCCTATAAAGGTTACTGCGGTATAATAACAATGTATTATTGTATACTGCTACTTAGTATTGTGCATCCTGGATGCACTTCTTATTTTGATGAAAGAGCATTTAACTTTTCGCTCCTGTGTCTGAGTGAAAATCCATCATATCGGTTGAGTGCTTCAATAACTCAATTTTACTGCAGTGAATTGATACAGTATCATCCGTGACACGTTTTCTGTCTAAAGACGGGATATTGTTTTCTGTCCCCATTCACAGCAAGAATATGAGGTGCCCATCGCCATGACGGCTGTGTTTGACTACATAGACACGTTCTTCTCACGCATCAAGGAGATGGAACAGCAGAAGAAGCAAGGAGTGACGTGTAAGAAAGAAGACAAATCCAAATCCTTAGAGAACTTCCTCTCACGGTACTAGTGGGCTTTTGTTATTATCTAGGACTATGCAATTGCAATATAAGAGTGTGTGACTGCAGTTTCAAGTCAACACAACTGACAAATACACTTGCCTAAAACTGACACTGACATCCTGTGTGCTCCTGGTCGAACATATATGCAAATAAATAAAGCTATGCATTCGTAACCTTTTTTGTTCCTCTCAAATGCTCGTGGAATTTTGTTTGTATATATTTGATGTCATAGTTTTTTCTGTGTTTTATATTTTTCTAGGTTCCGCTGGAGACGCAGGCTGTTTGTGATCTCCTCCTCTGACGACGAGGAATGGGCCTATCAGCAGCAGCTCTATGCCCTGACCAGCCAGGCCTGCAATCTGGGTGAGTAGTGATGTCACACTGTTGTCTCAGGCCTGTACGGTACATTAGACGTTTCGTGATGATTTCACCGGGGCCCTTAAGTGTTTGTTTTGGCTGCGTCACACCCATTTCCGGAGATGTTCAGAATGTGTGGGCACAATTTGGTCAACTAGGGTGGCAGGTAGCGTAGCGGTTAGAGCGCTGGGCCAGTAACTGAAAGGTTGTTGGTTCGAATACCTAAGCCGACAAGGTGAAAATATGTTGACGTGCCTTTGAGCAAGGCACTTAACCTTAATTTGCTCCAGGAGCTCTGTACTACAATGGCTGACCCTATAAAACAACACATTTCACTGCACCTATCTGGTGTATGTGACAATAAAACATGACCAAAACAATGTTTTTGCCTGTTACGTTCAAGAGCAGACACATTTCCCTAATACCTCACCAGCGCACTCCCTCAAGCTTATAGAGAAAGTGCAGGGAGTGTTATCTCTCAAATACCACTCCTGAAACACACTGTCCTTATCCCTTGTTGTTACTGTCTGTCACTGTTGGTCCAACGAGCCATGCTGTACAGGCATCATTATATATCTTTTAACATCATTATCATTATATATAAATTAACTTTTAACAGAAGATAATCTCATGGAATGTCCCCTTATTTGTAGCTTGCAGAGTCTGTCACAATTAGTTTTAACTGTTGCAAAATATGTAACAAACTGCATTAGCTATGCAAACAAACGAAAGGGAATATTTGGCGTTTAGCTATAACATGCCTGAATTGTTTAGGTTAGATAATGGACACCACTTTAAAGCTTAGCTAGGATAGAGGTCTCTTGTGACTCAACAGAATGTTTGGTATTTGGTTTTGAACTTGTTGTAGACAATGTGGTCAACTACTCATGTTGGTCTAGCACTGATGAAAAACAGGGTTCTTAGTTTGGGAGGACAGGCTATTATTTAGCTGCAAACAGAGTCTTACTGTGGATGACATTAAGAGCACTGGGATGAAAGATCTGCAAATTAGAAACATTTGCAATTCGAGAAAGGAATCTGGCTAGCACAGTGAAACTAATAAAACAAGACTGTTGAGCTTCAGTTGTATGCATGCATTTTAGTGCTTCTACTGGGAAATGCTTAATGGACTCAGTTTGGCCACATTGCATAAAACCACTGCTTACACCTATATCCATACCTTCAGATCTACTAGATGTCTTTGGGAAGGCGCTAGGGCTTGGTTTGAAATTGGTTTGATATTGGGTGTAAGAGGTGCAGTGGTGTAATGGGCAAGTGAAATGACTTGTTTTCAACTGGCTCTACTCAGGCCTGCGCCACTTGTCTGTGCTGAAGCTGATTGGAAAGGACATGGAGGATATGGGCGGGACCCTTGAGCTATATCCAATCAACGGTAAGAAACGGAGTAATTGTTACCATATTGGTGGAAAAATCCTTAGCTTATATGACTGAAGTTTTGGTTATGTAACTGAAGTATTCTTCTTCTTCTTTTTTTTTTTCTTCTTTTTTTTCTTCTTCTTCTAAACATTATGTTGTTCTTAATGTATGAAATCAATTAAAGTTAACCCCTCAACCCTGCCTGTGTCACAGGTACTGCCACTGTGGAACGTGAGGACGTCTCTCCCTCTCTGGTGAAGGACATCAGGAACTACTTCCAGATCAGCCCGGAGTACTTCTCTATGCTCCTGGTGGGGAAAGACGGCAACGTCAAGTCCTGGTACCCGTCTCCCATGTGGTCCATGTCCATCATATATGATCTGGTTGACTCCATGCAGCTCCGTAGACAGGAAATGGCTATCCAGCAGTCCCTTGGCATGCGCTGTCCTGAGGATGAGTATGGGGGCTATGGTCATGACAGAGACCCGGATGGTTACCACCGTGGATATGGTTACTAAAGGATTGAGAATATGATGTTCCCCTCAGGATGTGTTCCATTTTCTATTGAGGCCTGGTTGTGGCCTTGTCCCATGAACTATATGAAGCTATTGTATGAATGGCATTTCATGAAGGCTTTTTTTGCATTTTGATAACTGTGAAGTTGTTTTTATAAGAATTGACTTTCCTATAATAGATTATGAAAATGCAGCATACTTTTTCTTCCATTATATTTTTGTCTATTGAATATATGAGTTGTTTCACAGGGAGAATGGAGATTTCAGATTAAAAACATTTGGCAATTGCCTTTTATGTTTTGCATATATTTTTTATCTTGTATGGAGATATACAGGCAACTGCCAAAATAAAGGTAACACTTCAGTAAATGAGGGATACAAAGTATATTGAAAGCAGGTGCTTCCACACAGGTGTGGTTCCTGAGTTAATTAAGCAATTAACATCCCATCATGCTTAGGGTCATCATCAATCAAATGTATTTATAAAGCCCTTTCTACATCAGCGGATGTCACAAAGTGCTTATACAGAAACCCAGCATAAAATCCAAAAGAGCAAGCAATGCAGATGTAGAAGCCCGGTGGCTAGGAAAAACTCCCTAGAAAGGCAGGAACCTAGGAAGAAACCTAGTGCGGAACCAGGCTCTGAGGGGTGGCCAGTCCTCTTCTGGCTGTTCCCGGTGGAGATTATAAGAGCACATGGCCATTAAGGCCAGATCGTTCTTCAACCCCACCCACTTTGCCAAAGCAAAGCCCCCACACCACCAGAGAGATATCAACAGACCACCAACTTTACTACCCTGAGACAAGGCGGAATATAGCCCACAAAGATCTCCCCCACCGCACGAGCCCGAGGGGCCGCAAAACCAGACAGGAAGATCACCTCAGTGACTCATCCCACTCAAGTCCAGTATAGCGAAAAAAGCCTGGCACGACGTGATGCACCCATCGTAGGGACGGCATGGGAGAGCACTAGCAAGCCAGTGACTCAGCCCCTGTAATAGGGTCAGAGGCAGAGAATCCCAGTAGAGAGAGGGGAGCCGGCCAGGCAGAGACAGTAAGGGGGTTCCGTCACTCCAGTGCCTTGCCGTTCATCTTCGCACCCCTGGGCCAGACTACACTCAATCATAGGACCCACTGAAGAGATGAGTCTTCAGGAAAGACTTTAAAGGTTGAGACCGAGTCTGCGTCTCTCACATGGATCGGCAGACCATTCTATAAAAACGGAGCTCTGTAGGAGAAGGCCCTGCCTCCAGCTGTTTGCTTAGAAATTCTAGGGACAATAAGGAGGCCTGCGTCTTGTGACCGTAGCGTACGTGTAGGTATGTACGGCAGGACCAAATCGGAGAGGTCGGTAGGAGCAAGTCCATGTAATGCTTTATAGGTTAGCAGTAAAACCTTGAAATCAGCCCTAGCCTTAACAGAGGCAAGCACTGGAGTAATATGATCAAGTGTTTTGGTTCTAGACAAGATTGTAGCAGCCGTATTTAGCACTAGCTGAAGTTTATTTAGTGCTTTATCCGGGTAGCCGGAGAGTAGAGCATTGCAGTAGTCTAATCTTAAAGTGACAAAAGCATGGATTAGCTTTTCTGCATAATTGTTTGACAAAATGTTTAAGATTTTTGCGATGTTACAAAGATGGAAAAAAGCTGCTCTTGTATTATTTTTGATCAGGGTCCAGAGTAATGCCGAGGTCCTTCACAGTTTTATTTGAGATGACTGTACAACCATCAAGATGAATTGTCAGATCAAACAGCAGATCTCTCTGTTTCTTGGGACCTAGATCCAGCATCTCTGTTTTGTCTGAGTTTAAAAGTAAAACAATTGCCGCCATCCACTTCCTTATGTCTGAAACACAGGCTTCCAGGGTATGCAATTTTGGGGCTTCACCATGTTTCATCAAAATGTACAGCTGTGTGTCGTCTGCATAGCAGTGAAAGTTGACATTGTGTTTCCGAATTACATCACCAAGAGGTAGCATATATAGTGAAAACAATAGTGGTCCTAAAACGGAACCTTGAGGAATACCGAAGCTTACCATTGATTTGTTAGAGGACAAACCATCCACAGAGACTAACTGATATCTTTCCGACAGATAAGATCTAAACCAGGCATGAACTTAGGGTTTCCAATCTCTCCAAAATAATGGGGTGATCAATGGTGTCAAAAGCAACACTAAAGTTTAGGGGCACGAGGACAGACACAGAGCCTTGGTCTGACGCCATTAAAATGTAATTTACCACCTTCACAAGTGCGGTCTCAGTACTATGATGGGGTCTAAAACTAGACTGGAGCCTTTCGTATACATTATTTGTCTTCAGGAAGGAAGTGAGTTGCTGAGAAACAGCTTTTCCCCCCCAAAATTGAGGGGAATGGGAGATTCGATATAGGCCGATAGTTTTTAACATTTTCCAGGTCAAGGTTTGGCTTTTTCAGGAGAGGCTTTATTACTGCCACCTTTAGTGAGTTTGGCACACATCCGGAGGATAGGGAGCCATTTATTATGTTCAACATAGGAGGACCAAGCACAGGAAGTAGCTCTTTCAGTAGTTGTGTTGGAATAGGATCCAGTAGGCAGCTGGAAGGTTTAGAGGCCATTACTATTTTCGTGAATGTGTCGAGATATACAGGATAAAACAACTTGAGTGTCTCCGTTGATCCGAGGTCCTGGCAGTTCTGTGCAGACTCAGTAAGAGAAATACGCATATTCAAAGAGGAGTCCGTAATTTGCTTTCCAATGATCATGATCTTTTCATCAAAGAAGTTCATGAGTTAATCACAATCGAAGTAAAGGCCATCCTCACTTGGGGAATGCTGCTTTTTAGTTAGCTTTGCGACAGTATCAAAAATCTATTTTGAATCGGTTTTATTCTCCTCAGGTTGGAAAAAGTAGGCTGATTGAGCAGCAGTGTGGGCTTTTTGATATTGCGCGGTAGACTTCCAATTTGGTGGAGCGCCATTTCCGTTCCAATTTTCTGTAAGCTTGCTTCAGGGCTCGTGTATTTTATGTATACCAGGGAGCTAGTTTCTTGTGACAATTTTATTTTTGCTTTTAGCAGTGCGACTGCATCTAGAGTATCACGCAAGGTTAAGTTTAGATCCTCGGTTAGGTGGTTAACTGGTTTTTGTACTCTGACGTCCTTGGGTAGGTGGAGGGAGTCTGAAAGGGCATCTAGGAATCTTTGGGTTGTCCGAGAATTTATAGCTAGGCTTTTGATAATCCTTGGTTGGGGTCTGAGTGAATTATTTGTTGCGATTGCAAATGTAATAATAATGGTGCTCCAATAGTTCAGGATTAGGAGGAAAAACATTTAGATCCACAATATATTTTCCACGGGACAAAACTAAATCCAGGGTATGATTGTGGCAATGCGTAGGTCCCGAGACATATTGGACAAAACCCACTAAGTCGATAATGGCTCCAAAAGCCTTTTGGAATGGGTCTGTGGAATTCGCCATGTGAATATTGAAGTCACCAAATATGTTAATATTATCTACCATGGCTACGACGTTCGATAGGAATTCAGGGTACGCAGTGAGGAATGCGGTATATGGCCCAGGAGGCCTATAAACAGTAGCTATAAAAAGTGATTGTGTAGGCTGCATAGATTACGTGACTAGAAGCTCAAAAGATGCGTGGGTGATTTGGTCACTAGTGTAACCAGGAGGAGAGACCTCATTTAACACAGTATATTCATCAGGCTTGAGCAATGTTTCAGTCAGGCCAATCACATCACAAGTTTATGATCAGTGATTAGTTAATTGACTATGACTGCCTTGGAAGTGAGGGATCTAACATTAAGTAGTCCTATTTTGAGATGTGAGCACAGGCAGCCGGTGGCACCTTAAATGGGGAGGATGTGCTCATAGTAATGGCTGGAACGTATAAATGGAATGGTATCGAGCACATCAAACACATTTCCATGTGTTTGATACCATTCCATTTACTCCATTCCAGCCATTATTATGAGCCGTTCTCCCCTCCGCAGCCTCCTGTGGATGTGAGGTATTATCACAATATATTTCAATAATGAAAGGAATGGAGGAAGGCTTTATACCAGTGAAATTGCTGATGCGAACAACGCCATGTTTATTTTTGCCCGACCTAGAACGGGGCACAGACACGGTCTCAATGGGGAAAACTGAGCAGACTACACTGATTGTGCTAGGGGCAGACTACACTAAGCTGGCAGGCTGGCTTGCTGCCTGGCATGCACCCTATCTCATTGTGGAGCTAGAGGAGTTATAGCCCTGTCTATGTTGATAAATAAGTGAAAGCACCCCTCCAGCTAGGATGGAGTCCGTCACTCCTCAGCAGGCCAGGCTTGGTCCTGTTTGTGTGTGAGTCCCAGAAAGAGGGCCAATTATCTACAAATATATTTTGGGAGGGACAGAAAACAGTTTTCAACCAGCAATTGAGTTGTGCGAGTCTGCTGTAGAGCTCATCACTCCCCTGTATACAAATTCCCAGTTGCCCATAATTGTTTCTACCATGGCTAGAAGAAGAGATCTCAGTGACTTTGAAATAGGGGTCTCAAAGGAGCATAGGGGGTTTAAATGGTGTGTTTTTCTGTGTGTGTGTGTGTGTGTGTCTCAGTCATCAGATCTCAACCCAATTGAACACTTGAGAGATTCTGGAGCAGCGTTTTCCACCATCAACAAAACGCCAAATTATGGAATTTCTCGTGGAGGAATAGTGTCACATCCCGCCAATATAGTTCCAGATACTTGTAGAATCTATGCCATGTTGCATTGAAGCTGTTCTGGAAACTCGTGATTACTATGTTGGTGTTTCCTTTATTTTGGCAGTTACCTGTATGCAGTGTCGATTTTAGCATGTACATCTTGGTGGGGCAAACTCCCCAAAAATGTTTCAGATGCATGCCAGCAAAGCCACTATACAACACAACACTAACAAATACATGAATTGCACTATAACGGTGACAAATGATGCCCACAAACTGTTAGGGCCTACATAAAGCTTTCCCAACAGCAGAGCTTTCTTTTCAGCACCATTTGAGTGAATCCTTACCACCGCTACACCTGGCTATCAGCGGAGCCTTGTCTGGCAGCAAAACAGTTAATTCAGCATTAATTACTGCCTTTAAAAAAAAAGATAGCTGCTATGGCTGACTTGCTTAAACAAATGCGGTTTCTACTGAGTGGCGCTGTCAAGGTATCAGTGTAATGCGGTAGGACGAAGTCAGGCGCAGGACACAGAGCTACTCAAAAAACGTACTTTACTCGTAGGTATCTTGAAGAACATACCTACACGCAGGGAGGAACAAACCCGCTCACATACGACAACCAAAACATGGACAAACACGCACAACACACA